CTTGAAATTGTATCATGATGACGCCTTCCATAAGTTCCTAGTAGGCAAGCCAAAACTCGAGATAACTTGCATAAAAAAACTAGAAAAATAAAGGCATAATACATATATTTGACCCTAAATTTGACTTCAAATTTTAACTTTGACCTTTCAACTTTCATAATGTACAAACATACACTTTAACTATCCAACTTTTAAATAAATAAACACATGAGTCCTACATGACAAAATACACGTAGGACACCACATAGGACAAAAAATGACATGTAGGACATAAGTGACTATTTGTTCAACTTTATACAAGTTTAAGTGTCTACTTGTGCATAACCTAAGTTGAAGGACATAAATGTGATTCGAGACCAAGTTAAAAGGCATATTTATGTATTATGCCAAAAATAAAAAACGCAGATGCAATAAAAATATAAGGCATAATACAAAACATAATTCTTAACTTGGTTTCAGTGGACAACTATGTCCTTCAACTTTGAGTGTGCACAAGTAGACACTTAAACTTGTATAAAATTGAAAAAGTAGACACACGTCTCCCACATGTCATAATACATGTAGGACGCCATGTAGGACACAAAATTACCATATCGGCACGAATGCGTCTATTTTTAAAATTTTATACAAGTTTAAGTGTATTTGTGCACATCCAAAGTTAAAAGTCATAATTGCCAACTGATGCAAAGTCAAGAATCATATTTATATATCACGCTAAAGGTTGAACACATCGGCAGCCCCTTAAATTGGCACCAATTTTCACATAGACACCTCAAGTAGGGGTTCGCTATGTCATTTTGACACCTTTTTGACAATCAGCTAAAATTACAAAGTGTGTAACACACTTGCGGATGAAATGACATGATGACTAATTAAAAGGTCACATGTGAATTTGAATGTAAATATAATAATTTTTAAATAAATTATTAAAACTAATAAATAAAATTACCTATTTTCTACCATCCCACCCTACCCCTACCCTATCTGCCTCCCCAACTCTACAATCCCTTTTTTGGTTCTTCTTCCAGTTATTTTTTTTAAAAAAAAAATCATTAGATTTTAGGATTTTTTAATTGATTTTGAAAATTATACATGACATTCTTCTAACTTTTTTGAGAAAAAATGTATCTTGTTCTAAAAAAATCTTTTCAAATTTTAGTGTGATGATTTTTAAAATTTTGTTCTTATAAACATTTGTAAAATTTGTGGTAGTTTTTTATTTTATTTTTTCATGTTATGTAAGGTTTTTTTATCATGAATTTTCATGGGGAAAGGTGGAATAAGTGGTAGAGCTAAAAAGTGAAGAAGAAGAAGAAGAAGAAGAAGAAGAAGAAGGAAAAAAATTCAAAAGAATCCAAAAAAGATCTCAAAATGGGTGCATCACACGCAATATTTCAAGTTAGCAAAAAGTGTCAAAATGACACAACGGGACTCAACATGAGGTATCTAAGATAAACAAAGCGTAATTGAGGTGTCTAAGGGAAAATTGATGTCAATTTTAAGGGACTGCTGATGGGTTCAGCCAAGCCTTACGCCAAAATATAAAAATGGGTCCTAGCATTGATATATAGCAAGCCGTATAAAATATACAACAAGGTCCTAAAAGAGACCAAGCCAATTAGTTTTACAAAATTCAAAAATATATTCAAGTTGTCTCAAAGGCGATTTTGTTATTTTTATAATAAAACACACTCACAGTGATTTATATAATCCGCTCTATCTGTTTATTTCTATTATGTTGAGATCTTAATACCCATGCTTATGTCAAGCCATTTGTTTAGGATCTTTTTAAATTTTATTCATCATATCATATCTAGGAATAATTTATGTCGTGACACTAAGTGATCTGCACGAATAGAACATGTTGGTCTACAAATTAGGCAAAATCAGTTCCAATGGAGACTACATGATATAGTTACTCATCAGATCCTAGTATATGTTTATAGATATCAAATTAATAAAGTCCTCCTGTTGATCAAGCCTTAGATCAGGCTAGTCATATTAAAAAGTCTCAACCACTGCGCAATTAAAGATTTTCTGTGGTGTTCATTCTATGAACTTCATGGAAATTCAATTATTCTTGGAGATTTTCTTCACTAATATAGGTTGTACCCCTGAAGTTGGAGCTTAAGTATGGACAGAGGCGTGTGCAGTAGGGGGTCATCGGATTTCACATGAATTCATGTGATTTCATTTTGTGATTTGAAATCATGAGATGAAATTTCAAATTCTTCAAAACACTTGATTTGGAAGTTTCATATCATGATTTGAAATCATTCAACGACTCAATTTCTTCAAAACGTCGCCTGATTTGAAAATTGCATATCCTGATTTCATATTTTCAAATACAAAATTTGACTTACAAATCTATATTTTGTACAATAAACCTTACTATTTTGTATCATAGAATATTTTGTAAGAATACCAAAGGATAATATATTCACGGAATATGAACACGATGACATAGTTACTAATGAGAGTACAGTGCACAGGTCATGCTCAATTTTATGTTTTTACTGAAGTAAAGTTTGATTAATAAATATAATATACTTTTTATAATATCTTTGTTATATTGTATTATACTTTTGTTATTTGATAAGATTGTATAAAAAAAATTGGGGCAATTTTTGAAAGTTTTCAAAACTTGTGTTTGCTTTTGCTAATCACATTTCAAATAAATTTGTCAAACACAAATTGCTTTTTTTCAAAAACATTTTTTAAAAAAAGCTATTTTAAGAAAGTACTTATAAAAATAAGCAAATTTCAGCAGCAACGCCAAAGGGGCACTGCAACTTGTTAGTAGAGCAAGAAGGCGCTTGAATCTAAGCATGGAACCACGTTGGGAAGAAAAGGGAAAACTGGATCATGTGTCCTCACTTGTTTCCTTATGGTTTCTTCAATTATCTGTAACCCCTTCGAAAATTATGATTAGAAAAACCTGTCCTTTAAGCTCTGAACTCGATTATCCAACATCACAAAGTGCTTTCAAAAGAAAAGTAGGGTTCAAAGGTAAGGGTGTTTGTCACGACCCAAAACGAGCCGCGAGTGGCACCCACACTTATCCTCCTATGTGAGCGAACCAACAAATCTAAACCCCAACATTTACCAATAGTTCAACTATGAATAACAAAAATAATTCGGAAGATCCAAAACTTATTAATGTAACCAATTAAATAAGCTTCTAAAGTTTAACACTTATTATCCCCAAAATCTGGAAGTCATCACATCAAGAACATCTATCCTCAAATTTCTAAATCTAAGAGTATTTAAGAAACTAAAAATAGTAAAAAGATGGTCCATGTCCGAACTTCAAGACATCAAGACGTGAAGGAGAGAGTCCAGTCCGAGCTAGAAACAGTAGCTCACCCTGAATTCTGATATACTGAAGACTGGATAGAGTTGAGGACGAGTCGAAGTCGATGACACGCTTGCTGCACTCCACTAATAACAAAGAAGAAAATTACAAGTAGGGGTCAGTACAAGGAACAAGTACTGAGTAGGTATCATCGGCTACCTCAAAATAGAAAGCAATATATATCAAATAATATTATAAAATCAACTACAATACTCAACAGGTAGCAACAACGAGTACAAGAACCATTGGCAACAACACCAAGCGCACCTATAAGGACTCAAGCCTCCACACCATACTCATTTGGGAATTAGGTTCTTTGAATAGAGTATATTAACATAATTCAAAATTACTTCTCTTCATTATTATCGTGTCGGAACGTGACACTTCGATCCTCTAATTCTACATGTCGAAACGTGACAGCCGATCCCTTAATGCTACGTGTTGGAACGTGACACCCGATCCCTTAATACTATGTGTCGGAACGTGACACTCCGATCCCCTAATTCTACGTGTCGGAACGTGACACTCGATCCCTTAATGCTACGTGTCGGAACGTGACACCCGATCCATTTATACTATTAATTTATCCTTTATTATCACCGCTTTCAATTCATTGTTATATTATTTTCATCAAGCCTTCTTTATTCAAGGCATCACTTAACAGAGAGGATTCAAGATTAAAGGTTCAACAGTATCAACATTCTAATTCACCACAATTACACAATTACAACATACAAACCCACAATCAAGCATATAGAAGACTTTACAATACCACCCAATACATATCAATCGCTATTAAGAGTTTACTATGAAATAGCATAAACCATAACCTACCTCCACCGAAGAATCGTGATCAAGCAAGCTACTTCTCAATGTCTTTGCTTTCCTCTTCGCTTCTCCCTTTATCTCGCTCGTTCTCCCTATCTTTTTCCTTCTCCAGATTCTTTTTTTCTTTTATCCTAATTATCATATAATTCCTTATGATAAAAGTAACCCATTATTTATTTTAAGGTTATCTCTTTTAGCCTCCAAGTAAATAAATTATTAAACTTACCCCACTAATTTCATAAAATTTGTCATGAATGGTCCAAAACACCCCTTAAAAACTTTTAGCAGAAATCCGACCCAGTCGAGGTTATGCAGCTCGTGACGGTCCGTCCTGTAGGTTCGTCACAAAGTTTAGAGAGTCAAATTCATTAACGAGTTTTGTGACGGTCCGCCGTATCTACGACGGTCCGTACTGCAGTTCTGTCGCGAAGTTCAGAGAGTCGATCCCAGCACCCAGATTTTAGAGTTGAAGTGTTTTGGCACGAAGACGCTCAACGGACCGTTTTGCCTATGACGATTCGTCCTACTTGTCGTCGAGGGCAATGAGGAGAGCAACAACAAAATTACACAAGTGTGGGACGACGGGGTCCATGGCGGTCCGTCATGACTATGACGGTCCGTCGCGTGATCCGTCGACCCAGTCCGTTTTTATCACAAATGATTCTACTGCTCGAAATGACTAAACAGGTCGTTACAGTTTTTTAATTCCATGTCCCAGCTCATCAAAGCTTATTTTACAGCTACACAGATTCTACTAATACGTTTAAAGATCAAAACTATAAAAAAAAAAAAAAAGTTATAGCACCCACGGATGTTATAATATGTTTAAGATCAATGCTTTCATTTTTGAATTAAGTTGTGTCAAGTCAACTATGACAATCAAAGTAAAATGGAACAGGATGGGAGTAGTAAAACTAATCAAGCAGCGGTAAAATCTAGGGTACAACAAGAAATTTGAAAACCCAAAATCTGACACCAATGGCGCAAAGCCTTTCAATTTACTTACTAACTACCATCGTAAACTGAATGTTACCACAGAAACAAGAGTGATGCATTGATGATTCTTCAGATGACGATAAATCCAGAAGCCAAAACTTTAAGTTGTTCCTTCAATAAAGCTTTACATGTATAATCTATAATCACCGTAGGATCGATGTATATGAATTGAACTGGGTTAAAACCTTCCTCCATGCCACAAAGTTCCCAGAACCTCCACCACGATAAGTTCTAGTATCACAGAAGTCGAAGTTGAAGAAATAACTATTTTGGGAGCTTATTGGAAGTTTTATGAATTGTGATAACCACTTAATGTAAGTTTCTATAACGGAAGCTCGTTACAGAAGCTTATCAAGTTTTGTTTCCAAATCCTGCATTGAAACCATCTTGACAAGGTCTTGTCTATCCTCAGGTGTATATTCTTTTTTCAGAAGGGATAGCACCTAAACGTGTGCTTCTAATATATTAGTCCTGCACAAATATAAAAATGGAATATATGCATCCAACTAGAATCACAGGTCAAGAATAGTCAGTTCACACCCTTGAGCAAGATATTGATTTACAGAACCTCCATATATCAAACTGCAACCTTCACAAGAGAATGCAAACTTCTGCACCAAAAAAATTACAGACCCCCAAAAATAAAGATACATATAAAAGTTGTCCTAGCTCTTAATTCCTTTAAAGATATATGTTACAAAAATCAACTGAATGCCCGTCACAGGACAAAGAATTTGGTACTTACAGATGGTGAATCCAGTTCTGCTGAAACAGATTGCTCCAACTTCTTAGGGTAATCCCAGATCCTCGTCTGAAGGAAGATAATTTGCAATCTGAAAACAAAGCAGGGAAAGAAATCAGACCAAATTATTTGTAGACCACTGGTTACTTGTAAGGAAATTCAAGCATACAGAAACCAAACATACATATGTGCTCCTTACTCCATTCATCCCAACTTATATGGTCTAATTCTTTCTCTTATCAATCCCAATTTATCATATTTAATAGACATTTTGCATCTCCATACAAATCCATTAGAACTCCTAGCAACAACTACTACAATCATCACTGACCATGTTTCTCATTTAAAGACATCTCAAGCGAACGTTATACAACATTGAAGATCATACCACTTTGCATTGTTAATCCAAACAAATGATGCACGGAGTAGAAAACGGAAATATGGAGGGAGGAGAAAATATTATCTCGGAGCCGAATGAACATTGAACAAATACCAAATCAACAGTACCAAAAATAAGGTAAACATGAAAAGTTCCCTCACAATGATGGATAGGCCCATGTTTTTCCATAAACTTGTAAATAAATCAGATGTTGGGTGCTCTTTTTGTACCTAGGTAGCACAACCATAGTGCCTTTTTATAAAATTATTCAAGGCTATAAAAGGGAAACTATAATCTACAACCTTCTAAATTTTCATTTTTCCTTATTATCTCCAACACAAGTGAAACTAAGTATTTCAGAAAAGGATGAAGTACATACTAGATTCAAATTCCAAAAGGTTACTTAACGTCACATAAATTGGTATAATTCACTCAAGAGCCTATTTGATATGTCCAATTGTCAGAAGTCTGCCACAAAGCATATTCCTCCCACCGCGCAAGAATCAACTTTCGAGAAAGCTATCATGATAACCTGATCATAAGAAAGAATGGAAAATATAAAAGCTTCAAACTCCAATGGAGAATTACTCACTTCCACTGATGGGCGATTTTGTTTGAAGGTACTACGTATCACAACAATGGAAGATAGTGCAGCTAAGAGAACAATAAAGAGAAAACGCTAAGCTATGAGCAATAGTATACGGTATATACCATGAGGCCTAATTTAACCAAAATCAATGCAACAGGAAACGAATGCCTAATTTATCCAGTAACTAATTTTGGCACTACTCATTCATCCACGAGGGTGCTGATTAAGTGATAATATCATCTCATGTCCGAGTAACAGATAAGTCGCCAAACAGCATTTAAATAAAATGTCCGAGCAATACTTGGGATGTTACCTCATCACGGATATAGGTGCGAGCACGAAAAGTTAATCGTTCATGAACATTAGCTAGAATCCTGTCTAGCGTTGGAGGTAACCCAGCCAATGACTTCCTCCGTCTGCTCAGCTGTTCTCCTAGAACTTCAACTTTGAGGATATTAACCAGTTCACAAAGAACATCCAGGTTTGTTTCGTGAATAAGTTTAGGACGCGATGTATCATAGAGGAAAGTACACCTGCAGTTTGTAGGGAGGTAATTGTAACCTTAAGAGACATAGAGATCAAGCTACTTATCATTAAAAAAAAAAAAAAAAGCTCAAATTCCAGCAGCTTCAGGGGCATATAGACAGTATTTCCTTTGTCCAATTTTTATACAACACATTTTCCTTGTTCGTCTATCCAAAAAAGAATTGACAACTTTTCCTTTAAACTTGCATTTCTAACCTTAATGATATTATTTATTGTCATACAAGTGTCTATGGTCTGTTATAGATCACAACAACAACATATCCAATGGAATCCCACTAAGTGGGATCGGGGGAAGGTAGAGTGAATGCAGACCTTACCACTACCTTGTGTAGGTAGAAAGGTTGTTTCCGAAAGACCCTCAGCTCAAGGGTAGACTAAGTGGGCCTACTATAGACCAAAATTTTCAAACTCTTTCTTTCTTTTTTAAACTCCATGCTCAGTAAACACCATAACCTAAAACGGGATGGAGGGAGTATAACATGTCAACGCTTCATTAAACTGCTTGTAATTGGACCAACTGAGAGATGGGGTGGGAGCACATGGATATATATGCTATGCACAGAATATTCATATCATGTTATGCAGAGGACATAAGCTCAAAAACATGACTTATCATGGACTACATAAATAAGAATATTTATAAATAAAGGAGGCAAGTAGAAATGTAGCTTGAGAATGCAGGGGGTAGAGAATATCTGATTGCGAATCTCCAATTACTAGAATGGAGCAAAGATAAAAAGTAATGTTATCAAGTGAACCAAATAACACGTTCCATTACCTTCTCATATATGAAAGGTACATGTTTCACTGCTGATTAACTTACTAACACTGAAATCTGCCATTAGATTCGACTATCAGTAACTGTAACTCCCTCCATTGATATTATCTAATCACATTAACTTGACAAGAAAAACTATAAATATGGTACAGCTTATATTCGAGGTCAAATTTTGATGGATAAAAGTGCAAGGCTTTCTATCTCTCTGCCCCACAATCAGGAAGGACATACATGTACATTAAAATACCAGAGAAGGAAAAAAGAGAACTTATGAACCAAAAGAAAGGTATAGGTATAATGGACATCTCATTTCATATATCACCCATGGGGGCAGTGTTCAGGAAAGCAAGTGCTTCATCGCTTTAAGCAGTGAAGCGAAGCGAGAGTTCAGCACTTCAGCCAGCTGAAGCGAGGCATGTGAAAGAAGCGGCTGCTTCTGGGCTTGAAGCGCGATGCGACCAGAAGCGGTGAAGCGAGAAAAGCAGCGGTTTTTTTTAAAAAATTAGGAAGTGGTCACCTTTAAATAATAAAAAGAGGTATGACTTACCTAATCCTTAAGAAATTAGAATAGTAAAGTTTCTGTGTACTTTTTCCTTCCAGTACTTTTTCTCTTTTCTTTCTTCGTTTTCTCTTCTTTCTTCTTCATTTTGGTGCAGTGGCACTGCTAGCTAGGACTTTCTTCTTTTTTGCTACTCTTTTCGTTACTCTGCTTTCCTTTGTCATGTATAGCTTTGATTATTTAAATTATATGTTGCCGAAATTTTTTCCCTCACAGTGATCAAATATATATTGCTGAATTGTTTTGTTTCTTAACAATGACTAAAATGTTGAATTTTTTCTTTTATAATGATAAAAATATAGGTGTTGATTATTTTTCTCAAATCTTATCCGTGATGTAAAATGGCTAGCCCGGGATGAAAATATGGGAAAAAAGTTGGTGATACCAATAGGATAAGAATAGTATGTCTGTTTTGTGACAAGGAAATAAAGGGGGCCTTTATTTGGTTTTAATATGAATTTTTTCTTATATATTTTGTCTCTATTTATTTTGGTCTTTTTTCTTTTGATTTCACTTCAATGAAGCAAGCACTTCACTTAAAGCTTGAAGCGGGACCGTGTCAGTTTTTACCGCTTTGCGCTCCGAGTGACTGGAAGCCCCAGATAGTAAGAGAAGTCAGCATATCACAAAGAAACACATCACACGTAGTAACTGACAACAATTAGGTTTCCTTAGGCCTCATCTGTTTGCATTTAATAATAGTCTTAATCTTAACCATTCATTTGTCAGTCATTAAGTCCGTTTGGTTTTTAGATCTGAATCATTCAAATGTCAATCATTAAGTACATTTTTTTTTCATGTTACAAGCACTAAATGGGTTTGAATAGGGTGGAAAAATTAAACCCAACCCATTTAAGTTTGGGTTGGTTATTGACCGCCCATTTGTTTGCTCAACCCAAACCATTTCAACCCATTAAAAATTGAGTTGATATGTAAAACAAAATGATTTTTGAGAAATTTTGTTAAAATATTTTTAATTTTTTTTCTTTGATTTTATATGTTATTTAATAAGAAAGAAAAATTAAATGGGTTTGAATAGGGGTGGCAAAATTAAATCCAAACCAATTAGGTTTGGGTTGGTTATTGACAGCACATTTACAATTGCCAGCACCAACAACCATTACCACAACAAATATTAATCACTACTGACAATCACCGCTATGTATAGTCAAACCACCATTATCATTCATCACCACCAATAACTATTACTATTATCCACTACAAAACTATTAGCCGCCACTACTAACTACCGACCATCACAACTAGCTACTACTCACAACCACCACCACGAGAAATCACCACCTCCAACACCATATAATTTTTTAAAGATACAATAGGAGATAAATATAGTATTTTGTTTTTTAACTTCATATTTATTAATTTATAAATAAAAACATTAATATGTTCAATTTTTGAAAATCAAACCGTCCTAAACATTTAGTATATAGTTTTTAATACATCTTAAATATTCATGTGCATTCAGATTCAGATATCTAAATCTTAATATTTAGATGTGTACTTAATCCGAACATCCTCAGCTTAGTGAAGACAAATGAGGCTTTACCAGACTTCATGATTTTACTTTTTTGGACGTAGAAGATGCTTTTTTACCTAACCGACAAATATTAAGGGCAACAAACACACATTTTGAAACTCTTAATAGGTGATGAGCCAACCCTTTAATCTTCACTTAAATAATTTCTCTGCTACCTTCTTTATCAAAAAGTAGTTGTTTAACCACCTTTTGAGTTAAAGCTTATACTTATGTTTTGGAGAATAAGTGAACGCATATACTTGAAATACCAGGTTCGCTTGAATTTACTATAACTTTCACATTTAACCTCCACATTTGTATCTCAAAGCCAAAGATTTAAGGTCATAAAAGCAGTTGAAGCAGAAGCAAATGATGACCAGACTAACTTGATATATAAACATAGCACATATTCATAACTGATGGCCAGAGCAACCTGCAAATCTAAACCAGAGGGAAATCTGAGCAGCTCTTTCAGAGGAATAGATAGCTGTACATCCCTCAGGACTGCTTCAAATTCCAAACCAGGAACTTATCTTGTGCTAGCCCTAAGATCTAAAGTGACAATCACTAAGCTATTGGGCAGCCTCATGGTCCACACTGATTTTTATTAGCACACAAATAATGTCTGAAAATGTTTACACACACTTACCGCTGATAGCAACTCTGGCCTAAGAAGGTTTAAGCATGGCACAAGCTACCAAAATAGCAAAGTCTTACTGGCACAAAAATTTTGCTATGTTGCGGCTCTCTTGTTTACAAGTCGCGTGAAAAACAATACAGATAATCCAAACCTCCCCCACCCCCAAACAAACCAAGACAAGAAAAGGAAAAAAGAAGCAAACTAGAAAAGAAGAAGTGGGAAAGGAAATCAGTAAGAAGCAAAAATTGTTCAAATGCAGAAGGAACCCCACAAGAGAAGTTAAGCAACTCACAGAGGATCTACAAGAGGAGTCAAACTCGAAATGTCCTCTGAAGATGATGGAAAGAAGTGATTGAAGAGTTGATGCTCCAGCTGACACACCTGCATTTACGATGTCAAACGTAAGGTATGGAGACATATATCACAGTTTACCCATATATACCTTTAGAAAAACTGTCTGAAGCAACATCAGATATTTACTTTGACAATAGTGATTCATAGAAAAATATATAGAAGTTATGATTCCACCCTCAAAGAAATCAAGGCTGTTATAGTTTTAGCACATTTATCCTAAATCCAATTAGAGGAAATATTCATCTACACTAACATGAGCTAACTGTTGAAAGAAAAAATAAGGAGTGGCTCTCTTATTTACAACAAATTACTTTGATTTTTTTGAGAATGAGAACTAATTACTTTGAATTAATCCTGTCAAATAAAAGAAAAATGATGTCGATTGCTCATATGACTATCAAAACTGGTAGGTCAACCTCGAATTGTCTCTTTTCATCTTCTTCTTATACCCCCACCAAACACCACAAAAAGAACAGTCATCCAATTTTTGTAAGGCAAGATATAACAATCATACCATGCTCTAGTACAAAATGTTGTAAATATTACTGATGTCATTGAATGTACCTGCATTAAATATGCACATCCAGATCTAGTTAAAGACGACAATGCTTCTTTCCTAGAAAATTCAGAGATCCGCTGTTGCACTATACCTCTTATCTGAATTAAATGAAACAGAACGAGTATTGATTAACGATGAAAGAAGGAGAAGAAAAAAACCATATATTTAATTATATATATAGAACTGAAAGGAGCAGCTTACTACTTACCAAGGAAAGGCGCTGTTCGCAATAGAGTTTGTGGCATTCTTCAAGAAGTTGAATATACTCTTTTCTAGGTGTTCTGCTTTCAATTTCCTCCAGGATAGGCTTAAGCTGCAGGTAACTAGGTTCATTTGGTTCATGGATTACACGTAAAAGCTAGTCCTAGTTTCTTTCTCTTTTTTTTTTTTTTTTTGAGATTAGAAATACTCACTGCCATACAACGAATTAATAGAGTTTCTATTCTACTAACTAAAAGGCAAGGAGATGTTCCAATATTACCTCATTTGCTGCAGCCTTGAATCGTACATATATTATAGATGGCTCTATACCCTCGGCAAAAGATGTCTTGTTACCACCGCTGCTTCTTATTGCAGCCTGAACCTGATAAAATGGGTGTATTTATCTCAGAATATGCAACCATTCATCTGCAAGAAAAGATTGTAGTGCATAAGACAGATTTACCTGAGAAGAAGTGCTTCTAAGAACGGAAAGAACGTGAGTGCGAATCATTCCCAGAGCTCGAGACTGTTACAAGGGGGCCAAGGTAACACAGACAGAGAGAAGGAGAATGGGCAATGGGATTAGAATTCATATGTCCAAGAATGCCATAAAATCATGCCTTGTATAAAGAAATGCAATTTTATATATGATAGTAAATTACATAATGTTGATGTCAATTCTTTTAAGTACCTGAAGTTGTCGAAACTTGACCAAATAAATGCTGCACTCTGCATATTGTGGGTTACTACTCTCTACATATCTTCAGTGATGCAGAGGAGAAACACAAAGGTTATTTGTGCTCTTATGCATAGATTTACAAGCTTAACTCAATAGAACTTAATCTTGATAAAAGAAGTCATATCCCTAGAAGAAACCTGTGACTCTAGACATGTCCACATAGTAAACTTCACAAATAACCAAAGAAAAGCATGGATGGTACAACATTGCAGTGGTTCTAATATTCATAGATTTCAATGCAGTAATATGAAATGTAATGTCACTTAGGATATGCACTCATCAAGTCTCTTTAGCAATGGAAGAAAATTTGTACTACCAACGCTCATGCTAGGAGAATAAAAAGTGGTAGCAACCTGCAAACAAGAGTGCAAGACAAGCATGAGGAATCAAATCAAAAAAAAAAAAACATAAAACTGGGTACTTTGACATTTGGAGAAGTTCAAGTAGGAGAAGAGCAGGACTTGAAGAGAAAATTTAGCACAAGACAAATCAAGTTGATACACCAATTAGATGTAATTAAACAAAAAGGAATTAGAAAATTTTAGTCTAATGGTCATGATTAAATCAAGAATATGTACAGTAGAGAGTGAAAAGCTATTCCTCTTTAAGGAATTTAAAAAAAGGAACTCTCAGTTCCAAAAAAAAAAAATTAAAACAGGAACTCTCATTCTCAATCTCACAAGTGAAAAAGTTTTCCTTTAGAAACCACCAAGCACATAAATAGGAGAAAGAAGAGTTGACCAAAAGACGAGATTAAAAAAATCATCTTAAATAAATAACTCGCTAAGCAAGAACATCAAAATAATCCAAAAGAACTAGATTGGAAAAGCCAAGACAGAATAGCTTTGGGTGACTCATTTGTAACATGAGGAAGAAAACAATCTAGAACCAAAGCTTTATTTACAAAGGATAAAGCTCTGCCCTCCGATGTATGGGTGTGGAAAAAATTTAATTAAAAAACATGAAATCTCTTGAGGCAGAAAGCTCTAATCTCTTAAAGCTGTTTTCCATAGTTCAAACTCTCAGTTAGGTATATTTCCTCACCGAGTATCAAAGCATAAAAAATACAGATAGCATCAATTCTCTTCACTCAAAATAAAGTTGATGCAGAACCATACCTAATTCAGATAGGCATAGATAGACTACTGTGGAAATAGTGCAAAAGGCATTGAATAACAATGGAATATTATCAACAGAAATGGCAGCCGGACCTTACATTCTCCAATTCATCAAAGTAATTGAGCTTATTGTGAAGTGATTCTGCAAACTCAATTATTTTCTGCTTCTCCAAAAGCTTCAAACAAAAAAGAAGTTACACAAGAATATTATTCAATGCTGCTTCTTGTAGTTAATTATTGCCTCTTTACCTGTACATCACATGTCCATTAATATTAGACACTGATAGGGAACTCCGAATTTCAAATGCCACTCACTGGACATTAGAATACACAACATTGACATGAATGGTAACTAGATAATGCTTTAAGACAAACAGCAACTTCAGATAAAAGAAAAAACTAGAAATGCAAAATGAAGAAATGCATTTACAAGGTACTAGGTGGCAATTGAAGATGTTTGGCAACTATAAAAGATATCATAGATTTTAATCCATCAATATAGTAGATTGCCAATGAAGACTTTCAACATCATAGAGTAAGCAAAACAATGTTGATTAAGAAATTGAACTACATAGTTACAAGCCTATCTTCTTATCATACAATTAATTGCTCCTCTGCTCCTCAGAATTTTGAACAGAATGAAAGAGAAAAGTACAATCTACAGCTAAGTAACCACAGATGCTAAGAGAAATGGGTTGACACACCAGTCTATCGCACGCATCATGAAGAGTTCTTGTCTTTGTTGCCACTGCTTGATGCTGCAATTGCAACTCATTGAACAAGTCAAGTGTTTCATCCACCTGCAAGAGAGCCAATTTTAAGGGCAAGGGCATGTCGACTCGAGCATAGTTAGATGAACAGCAACAACAAAAGGCTTAAGAGAAGAGTATAAGAGCATTATTTTTCTTCTCAGAATACCTGGTGAAGTATACTATCGCAGGTCTGAATCTGCTCTGTTAAGGTGCTGGCATAATGCTGATATTTTTCTTCAGACTATATATAGAAAGAAAGCATATGTAATATCTTTTAGTCCGCAAGTGAAAAAGATGAAACGTATGACTCACAACTTTTGGAAGAAACGGAAGACATATAAACAAGCTAAAGACCAACCTCTAATTTCATGGCTGCTTCAAGATCCGCGAACCACTTATAAAACTGTATCAACAAAATAAACAAAGGGGAAGAGGAAACTCATATCAAGTTCAAGCAGCATAAGGGGAAAGGTCAATTAAGATGCCATTAATATCATCATTTACATAGACAATTAAGCATATGCAGTATTCAAGCATATACAAGGCGGCAACACAAAGATTGACATGGAAACAAATTTGGAAAACTGAAGCTCCTTATTAAGTGGCTTGCTTTTGCTGGACAGCAACATATGAAGCAGTACTTATAGAGCAATTCCTTCAAGAAAGCTGCCTGATATATGCAAAAAGTGTTACATGTGTGAAATGAGGGTTGAGGATGTTAATTAACTCCAACTACACTGCCTAATAGCCTGGCAGTTGTGACCACTTACTTTTAACATTTTTGAAATTTAAGAATCATGCAAATGCTGGGGGAGTGGGGGGCTTTACAATAAAGAGGAGAAGAAGTGAAATGGGATGTAGCTCCGTTAGCTCCAGTGGTTCTTTAGAAGGAGAGAAGTAGGAGGTCTTTTGAAAGGGGTGGATTATGATTTCGTACAGTTGAGAAATAACCTCCTATTGTTAATTTTTTGTGCACTTACAAGTTTATTGTGTGTATAAATTGTTGGTTGTCTTTCACAGAGAACTCTTTTTTAGTGATGAGGTATATAATAACATAATGATCCGAAAATCTCCTTATCAAAAGACATTAGGATAAAACAAAAGGAGAAAAAGAAAATAACTTCTAGGGCTACCAAAGTTCAAATATGGAGGAGAGTTCTAGAAGAAATTTCTTTTGCATGTCTTTCTGATATATAGACACAAAACCTGCTCCACTAAAATAGGCAGGATCAAGGCCATAAACAGCCACTATGGTCATCATCCCTTGACCCATCACATGCAATTTAGGTATTTCTACCCCAGAAGACATTGAGTATCAGGGTCATTTCTCACTAAATGTAAGTTCTAGTCATCCTTTGCCCGGCATAAGGTTTACCCTCTCTAGTTAATGACAATCATCCGGAACAAATGAGACGCATATTATCTAGTAAGCCAAAACAATGGATGGGGCTTTGTAACAAGCAATTATCAGGCCTTCTGCTCAACTCATCGATTTTAGCAGTTATCTTATCAAAAAGAAGATTTCACTGGTTTAGCAGTTATGTGTGGCAGATGAGCCTTTGAGTATAACACACTACAACTTCTAGTCTTGTAGAAATATAAGTCTATCATTTAGCATTGGTTGCAAGATTTTATTTGTTTTGATTCCTTGCCCAAAATTTAGTTGATCATGCAACCTTTTTTATAAGGGAATATCATTCACGATCCCTTATTTGAAATATGGAATACTAAGATCTGCAACCGGGAAATGTAAAAGATAAAGGACATGCCAACTAAAAATTGGGTTTTTTTTAATCAGGTAAATATTTTTTCATTCATATTCGCAAACTGGCCATATACAAGGCGTATACCAAAAGGCAAAGCATCTACAACAAGATATGATTGTCTACGAACTCCAACTAATTATCTATACACCAGGTACCCCCTGTGTGCACCAAAGAAAATAAGAGAATGGAGACTACTCCTCAACTGGAAGGAAACTCCACTCCAGTCTTTCAAAAGTAACTCACCTGATTTGTATTCACTAGGACTGCTTCAATGGCCCCTGAATCCTCTAGAGAACTAAGCTTTGTTGAAACAGAGAGGCTGTTATCATGTCCAGAAACTTGGTCCTGGAAATTGAAATAAAAACATATTTCAGGTAATTGAGTTAGAGATAGATATATTCTGAAACCAACCAAGAAGGAAAAACTCACCAAATTGGACGGGAAAGGTCTCTCGGCAACTGCATGGGAAAGTGCTTGTATGGCTGCTGATTGTTGCTCTGTTAACAGAGCATTCTGTAAGAAAAATACTAGCTCAAGTCGTTGTAGAATATAAACATTAAGATAGCCACTAATGTTGATTTAATTAATCAAAAGGAATAACTTTCAATAGACATGAAATAGACACATGTAGTACGTACAAACAATTCTTCTCTTTTACTACAAACAATATAATTTGACATGATGAGGGCCACAAACACAAAATAGAAGATCAAATCCAGGATAGAGGTTGTTAGAATAGGAATAAATATTTCTTACTTAGAATAGGAATTACAATAGGAATTCTAGTTGGAAAAGGTTTTCAATGTAGTGTCTATAAATAGGGTCTTCATGTAACAATTTAGATGCGCAATTCAATAATATTTTCTCCATTATTTCTCTCATGGTATCAGGGCATTGGTGAGAAACAAACAATTCAATTTCCGGTGACGTTTGGGACTGATTTTATCATTTTTTATTTAGTGGGTGTTGTGCGAAAACCAACACCAACACGAGGCTAGGAAACCTCCCGCGACCAAACCCCAGCAAGAACCACCAGAAAACAGCACCGCACGCGCCCTCACGCGCCGATCGAAGGTGGCAGATTCCGGCGAGATCTGGCTCACTCGCCGGCGCGTGAGGACTTTTCCGTCCATAGTCTTTGAGATTTTTTTCGACAGGTGGGGTCGTCCAGCCATTCCGACCCAGACTATACTGTTTTTGACCATTTTTATTTAGATTCGATCACCGAAATTAGGGTTGCGGTGATTTTTGGGCAGCTTCCGGCGCGTGAGTGCTGCTCGGGTCTCTCTTCTTTTTTTCGAGTTTCTCTCTTCTGTTAGGGTCGTCCAGTGTTTTCGGTAAGAACCATACAGTTATCTCTAGATCCGATCACCGAAATTAGGGTTCCGGTGATTTTTTTTGGGCAGTTCCCAGCAAAATTCCGGCAATATCAGAATTTTTCAGGCCACTGCGGGCAGATTTCGGCAGCTTCCAATATTTTCAGACTTGTGTAGCAGCTTCTGGCAGTTCCAAGCGTACATACAAATCCATGGAGAATAGACGGGGGAGAGAATTTTTTGAAAAATCTCGATCTAAGTGTAGTCATGTCATAAACCTGGACACACTCGTGACATATGTTTTATTTTGCATGGTGGATCACCCAGTTATGATCCTGTTGTTCTAAAGGAATATATAGAGTTTTTTCCGTATTGTGCAAATAAACAAACGTCTCTACAAGTAGTTTCGATTGCAAAACCTAATGTTTCTGTTGCGGGTAATATTTTGTACTAGTATATCACAGTCTAACACTATTGGATCATGGGTCATAGAATCGGGGGCTTCTGATCATATCACTGGTAATAAATCACTTTTATCTGATATAATCTATTCATAATCTCTTTCATCTATTACATTAGCCAATGGGATACAAACAAAACCAAAAGGGGTTGGAAAAGCCAAACCCATATCTTCTGTCACTCTTGACTCTGTTCTTTATGTCCCTGGTTCTCCTTTTAATCTAGCATCGGTTAGTCGTTTGACGAAAGCCCTACATTGTAGCATAATTTTTTTGATCATTTCTTTCTCATGCAGGACCGCAGTACAGGACAGACTATTGGAACAAGATATGAATCACAAGGCCTTTACTATCTTACCTCTTCTAATTCTTTAATAGCATGCTCCGTTACAGATTCCTCAGATCTAATTCACAAACGTTTGGGACACTCAAGTCTATCCAAATTGAAAAAGATGGTACCTAGTTTGTCTGGTTTATCCACATTAGATTGTGAGTCGTGTCAATTTGGGAAACACACTCGTGCTACATTTTCTCGTAGTACTGAGGGTCGTTCAGAGTCTATTTTTTCATTAGTTCATTCTAATATTTGGGGTACTAGTAGAGTCAGTTCCCCCTTAGGATTTCGTTATTTTGTTAGTTTCATTGATGATTATTCGAGATGCACTTGGGTTTTCTTAATGAAAGATCGTTCTGAGTTATTTTCTATTTTCAAAGTTTTCTTTGCTGAAATACAAAATCAGTTTGGTGTTTCTATTCGTACATTCCGTAGTGATAATGCCTTAGTATACTTATCACCCCAATTTCAGGAATTTATGTCTCACCACGGAATCATTCACCAAACATCTTGTCCATACACTCCTCAACAAAATGGTGTCGCAGAAAGAAAGAATAGGCATATCTCATAGAGACTGCTCGCACTCTCCTCATAGAATTGCCATGTTTCGATGCATTTTTGGGGCGATGCAGTCCTTTCTGCTTATTATTAAATTAACAGAATGCCCTCTTCTTATATTCAAAATCATGTTCCATATTCCATATTGTTTCCTCAGTCACATCTTTATCCTATCCCCTCTCGTGTCGTTTGGAGTACATGCTTTCTTCATAATTTAGCCCCAGGAAAAGATAAATTAGCTCCTCGTGCCTCAAATGTGTCTTTCTTGGTTACTCTAGAGTTCAAAAAGGATATCGTTGTTATTCACATGTTCTTCACCGATACCTTATGTCTGTTGATGTTACATTTTTTGAGTCTCAGCCTTATTATACATCTTCTGATCGTAGTGATGTCTCTATGGTCTTACCCATACCTCAAATTTTACCTGTGCCAACCTTTGAGGGATCTACAGTTACGTCTACATCTCCAGTTGCAGTGCCACCACTACTAACTTATCATCGTCGTCCACATCCAACCCTAGTCCCAGATGATTCATGTCATGCGCCAGACCCTGCTCCTACTGCGGACTTGCCTCTACCTAGCCCACCGCTTGCACTTCAAAAAGGTATACAATCTACTCGAAATACTAACCCGCATTTACCTTCTTAAGTTATCATCATATATCATCACCCATTATGCCTTTGTGTCGTCATTGTCCTCTATTTCCATTCCTAAGACTATAGGTGAAGCACTTTCTCATTCTAGATGGAGGCAGGCTATGGTTGATGAGATGTCTGCTTTACATAAGAGTGATACTTGGGAGCTTGTCTCCCTTCCTGCATGTAAATCTACTGTTGGTTGTCATTGGGTTTATGCAGTCAAAATTGGTCTAGATGGTTAGGTTGATCGACTTAAGGTTCTCCTTGTCGCCAAAGGGTATACTCAGATATTTGGGCTAGATTATAGTGACACTTTTGCTCCTGTGGCTAAAATAGCATATGTTCGTCTTTTTCTAATCTATGGTTGTTGTTCGTCATTGTCCTCTTTATCAGTTGGACATAAAGAATGCTTTTCTGCTAGTGATCTTGAGGAAGAAGTCTATATGGAGCAACCACCTAGTTTTGTTGCTCAGGGGGAGTCTAGTAGCCTTGTATGTCGATTGCGTAGGTCACTCTATGGTCTGAAACAGTCTCCTCGAGCTTGGTTTGGGAAGTTTAGCACAGTAATTCAGAAGTTTGGCATGACTCGTAATGGATCAAATCACTTTGTGTTTTATCGACATTCTGCACCAGGTCGATGTATCTATTTGGTTGTTTATGTTGATGATATTGTTACCACTGATAATGATCAAGACTATATCACCGATATAAAGCAACATCTTTTTAAGCACTTTCAGACAAAAGACCTTGGTAGATTGAAGTATTTTCTAGGTATTGAGGTTGCTCAATCTAGATCAGGCATTGTTATCTCTAAACACAAGTATGCCTTAGACATTCTTGAGGAGACAGGAATGATGGGATGTACACCTATTGACACTCCGATGGATCCGAATGTTAAACTTCTTCCGAGACAGGTGGAGCCACTTAGTAATCCTTAAAGGTATAGACGACTTGTTGGAAAGTTGAATTATCTCATAGTGACTAGACCAGGCATCTCTTTTCCCGTGAGTGTTGTAAGTCAGTTTATGACTTCCCCTTGTGATAGTCATTGGGAAGCAGTTGTTCATATTCTTCGATATATAAAGTCAGCCCCCGGCAAAGGACTACTCTTTGAGGATCAAGGTCATGAGCATATTATTGGATATACAGACACTGATTGGGCAGGATTACCCTCTAACAGACGTTTGACATCCGGATATTGTGTTTTAGTTGGAGGTAATTTGGTGTCGTGGAAGAGTAAGAAACAAAATGTGGCTTCTCAATCTAGTGCAGAATCAGAATATCGAGCAATAGCGACAGCAACTTGTGAGTTAGTTTGGCACAAATAATTACTGGGAGAACTAAAATTCGGCAAAATTGATCAGATGGAACTTTTGTGTGATAATCAAGCGGCTCTTCATATCGCATCAAATCCAGTGTTTCATGAAAGGACTAAGCACATTGAGATTGACTGTCACTTTCTCAGAGAAAAGATACTCTCAGGAGATATTGTTACAAAATTTGTGAAGTCAAATGATCAGCTTGCGGATATGTTCACTAAGTCTCTCACATGTCCTCGTATTAATTACATCTGTAACAAGCTAGGTGCATATAATTTGTATGCACCAGCTTGAGGGGGAGTGTTAGAATAGAAATAAGTATTTCTTACTTAGAATAGGAATTCTAGTTAGAAAAGATTTCCAATGTAGTGTCTATAAATAGGGTCTTCATGTAACAATTTAGATGAGCAATTCAATAATATTTTCTCCATTATTTCTCTCAAAGGTGATTTTCCAATAGCTATTGCAAGAATAAGCTAAAAGTAAAAGTTTCAGCAGCTAGTTAGCCGGTGGTTATACGAGGAAAAAGAGAAGCAGTGTCACATTACAATGAAAATAAAACTTCAAAAGATAGTTCAACGGAGAATATGCGACACAATCACCAGCAGCTAAACCTTGCCGTTGAAATGAGACGACAAACACATGTTAAAATCAACTGAGAACTTTATCGCACAAAGAAACAATTCTGATCCTCCTTTTTTTCACCTTTTTTGGGTAAGTGATAAAATTTATTAGAGAAACTTAGTACCAAGATATTACTAAGATATAGTTAAAAGATTTGCTGGATTTTCTTAAGCTGTAAGGAATCCAAGAAATCAAGCAATAATCCAATGTAATTTGATCCCCTTTTCCAATCACCGCTTTACTATTCATTATTTCAACAGGATCAGTGCATATGATAAAAATCCGGTCATCAAAATTTGTCATAGAATCAGATATCTACATAATTTTGGTTATGCGTTCAAACAAATCTAGTAAATCTGGAGAAAATCTGAACAATGTAGAAAATAGAGAGTGAACCTGTTCCCAAGTAGAAGCGAAATTATAGCCTTTGGAAACAGCTTCGGACTTGAGAACCCCCGGCCTTGTCGTTGCCGCCATAGTATTATCATCACTCTCTTCTTCCACTACTTTGCAACTGTTTCTGTTCGTGTAAAAAGTAAAACGAAACAGAATTGATGAAAAATGAGGGGGAAACGGACTGTGTAGTAACTAGTCAATTACTGATACCAAAACAATCAATACTACAGATGATTGTAGCCATCACCATATGGATTTTGGAGCTTCAATGGAAGCAATTTCGACTTCGAAGTTGAAAAAAAGGGTGATTTGAACGATGAAGTTGGAGATCTGGGATGATCCTCTGGCTTAGCTTTGGGTTTTCCGCTCATATGAAAATTACAGTAACGACGTTCCTTTTCTTCAAAATTCAACATAGACCAAAACTGGAGAAAATTAAATGAATGGCGTCAAACAACTCTTTGGTTTTTGGTGACAGATTGTCCAAAGAGTTTGGTCAAATTTATTTTAAAATGTAATTAAGTAAATTTGAGATTAAATTAATATTTTTAAGATTTTTTAGTCTTTTATAAAATATAAAATAGCACTTCATTTTTTCAACTTTTATAATTCTATTCAAATCAATTTATTTAAAAAATAAATGAAAATAAAATTTTCTCTTCTTCTTCTCTCAATGTTCTCTCTTCTCTTCTTCCTCCTCTTGAGAAAATTTGAAAATTCGACTATTAAAATAAATATTTTATCCCATTATCTTATCTTCCTTCTCATCTCCGGTTGTGACTCTCTTCTCTTTTTGAGCTGAAGATTGTGTTCGAATTAAAATGAGTAAGTCATATTTTTTGAGAGATTTTACAATTTTGGAACAATACTAAGCGTTTTTTGTTAATAAAGAATAAATCGTTCTATAGATGTGAAAAATGAATAATAGTGTAATAGTACCTATTATTTATTAATAGTACCTATTACTTATTGTTTTAGAAAGAAAATTAACAAACACAAAAAGTCATAATTTTGAGAAAATATATATGTAATGTTAATATTCAGGGAAAATTCATTTTTTGTTGTTTTTGTTGTTCTGTTATGACCATTTTGTTCATATGATTTAAGAAATATAGTTTTGTTCAGTTGTCCAACAAATATTTGAAGTGTAGATCGAAAAAAATTATTTCTCTATCACTATTTATAATTGGTGAAAGAAAAAAAACAATGACTACTGTTCTGTATCACGCTCAAACCCGAAAGGCAAGGAGAACAAGGAGGAGAAGGAGAAGGACCTAGAGATGGAGAATGAGAGATTGAAAAAGAAAGCGAAAGAGAAAGAGAAAAAAGTCGAAGTCGTCAATTGTGATGTGAAACAACAATATCCACCGTTAATTAGATTGATGGTTATGTATATCATTGTGAATTATCTTTTTTGTTGATAAGTTGTATAAAACAATTGGTGAAGTGTATTTTTGCTGATAATATGAATGATTTTTTTGTTGAAACAAATGTCAATTATGATGAAAAAGAAGAAATGTGGTGTATATGGCAAAATATATAACCTATGTTGTAAAAAACACCACAGAATTATCTAGATGTGCCCTAACAGAAAGGACATATGTGGCAACATATATAACCTATGTTGTAAAAAATGCCTCAAAATTATCTAAATGTGCCCCAACAGAAAGGATATATGTGGCAACATATTTCACAGAAAGAAGATATGTGGCAACATATGTCACATAAAAAAGATATGTGGAAAATATGCCACAGAAAAGAGATATGTGGTAACATATGTCACAGAAAGGAGATATGTGGCAACATTTCACTGTTATCAATGTTATATGTGGCAACATTTCACTGTTATCAATGTTGTCTGTGGCAACATATATAACCTTTGTTGTAAAAAAATTTATAAAATTATCTGTATGTACCCCAACAGAAAGGATATATGTGGCAATAGATATCACACTATAAATTGTCAAAAAAAAATTAAAAAGTAAAATAAAGATGTATAAAACAATCGTCCCTTCATTTTCTCTCTCTCCTCTCCTCTATAAAAGGTCGTTTTGTTTCTTATTTCAAATTTCATTTATTTTTACTAATTTTTGTTTTCTTTTCTCTCGTTCCATTATTTCTTTAAGTTCAAATTGTTGCTATGTTTTCTACAACATCAGTGATAACATGTTGCGATTTTCTTCTACAACAAAGCATCGTTGCCCTCATCATTTCTAGTTTATCATTGATATCTCCTAAGATAAAATTTAATAGTTATTGCTATTAAATCAGAATTTTTTTAGTGGTTTTTATCACTTATTTGTTTGTAGGATGGTTGTGTTGTTATTCTTTTTGGAATATTATCTGATTAAAAAATGCATTTTAGGATGTATATTGCCACATGTGACATGTCTGTTGCAATTTTCCCAACAGAATGTGCATATATTGTCATATATGTCACTTCAAGGTTGACTTCATCGATAAATTGAGCGATTTAGGAATGAAAAAATGTCAAATTGGATCAAATTTTAGTACTTCAGACCATAATTAAACAATAAAATATGTTATAAACACTTGGAACAACAATTTACATGGGTTTTATATAACCATCATATCAAATTATTTGGTAATTGTATGATGAACTAGTGATATGATAGTCTTTGTAAAAATAAATGATAAAATTAATGAAAGTTGTTGTATTAGATCATATTTTTATGCTTAGACATGTTGTATGACTATATATTAGTGAATTAGGTGACAATATAATTGAATTAACCACAAAAAGACCATTTTATGATATACATATGCTGTCACATATGACATGTCTGTTGCAATTTTTCCAACAGGATGTTCATATGTTGCCACATATGTCACTTCAATAATGTGTTAATCGATAAATTGAACGATTTAGAAATGAAAAAATGTCAAATTGGATCAAATTTTAGTACTTTGGACTATAATTAAACAATAAAAATATGCTATAACACTTGAAACAACGATTTACAAGGGTGTTATATGACTATCATATGAAGTTACTTGCTCATTGTATGATGAACTAGTGATATGATAATCTTTGTAAAAATAATTGATAGAATTGAGGAAGGTTGTTATATTAGACTATAATTTTGTACTTAGACATGTTTTAGGACTATATATTAGTGTTACATATTGAATTAGGTGACAATTTAATTAAATTAACCCTTCAAAAACGATTTTATGATGTACATATATTGCCATATATGACATTTCTGTTGCAATTTTTCCAACAGAACGTGCATATGTAGTTTCAATGATGGTTTAATCAATAAATTGAGCAATTTAGAATGGAAAAATGTCAAATTGGACCAAATATTAGTACTTTGAACATAATTATACAATAAAAATATGGTATAACACTTGAAACAACGATTTGTAAGGGTGTTATATGACTATCATATGCATGATGAACTAGTGGTATGAAGGTTGTTGTATTAGACCATAATTTTGCAACATATTGTAGGACTATATATTAGTGATACGTGTTGAATTAGGTGACAAATTAATTGAATTAACCCTTCAAAGACCATTTTATGATATACATAGTGATACGTGTTGAATTAGGTGAACAAATTAATTGAATTAACCCTTCAAAGACCATTTTATGATATACATATGTTGCCACATATGACATTTCTGTTGCAATTTTTCCAACAGAATGTGCACATGTTGCCACATATGTCACTTCAAGAATGACTTAATCGATAAATTGAGCAATTTAGGAATGAAAAAATGTCAAATTAGACAAAATTTTAGTACTTTGAACCATAATTAAACAATAAAAATATGATACAACGCTTGAAACAATGATCTACTAGGGTATTATATAACTATCATGTCAGTTGCGACCTGTAAGTCATATGTTGCTACCTGTCTAGCTTATATGTTGCAGCTTGCGTAAGTTATATGTTTCACATATGTCTATTCAGTTGCTATTGAAATAACTTTTTAGTTGCTACATATGGCTATAATTTATTCCAATAGTCAATTGTTGTAATATATAGCAATCTGTTGAAAACGTGAATGCAAATTATTAAAAAATTGCAGGTACCCAGATGATGATGAATGATTTCAAAGAAATATTAATTTTACATATCAAAACAACTCAATTGATAGCAAACGAAATCTGGTCCTGTGATTAAATTAGGTAAATCTGATTCAAGAAGAAGAAAAGAACAAAGCTCAAGGATTAGCAGCCAAGACCAATAATATATGAAAAAAAGAAGAAAAATATAAAGAGAACAGGAAGAAAGACAAGCAAGCAAGCAAGAACGAAGAAGAAGAAGAAGAAAATGAAGAAGAAGAGGAAGAGGAATACGACGAGAGGTGGGGCAAAAGTATTTTATTTCCCCTTTTGGTACAGCTTGCTGGTGGCTTCCCCCAATTTTAATTCCAACCAAAATTGGTTAAATTAGATTTTAGTCAATTTACCCTTTTACTCTAATTCAATGGACCAAACATCAACTTATAAACTTGAGGTCAAATCCATAATCCTTAATCATTAAGCACATAATTGTCACCTACACCCAATACTTAAGATTTATGTCTCTGCCCATTTATTTTGAAACCTTGTGGTCACTTTTTTTTAAAAGTCCCCCAAGACTGTTTAACTCAATCCGTCTTACTTCATCATTTTGTTTTTATTTTTCTACTTTATATTTAAAAATCATAAATAATAATAATAATTTATTAAATTTGCCCTCTTAAAAAAATGAGAATTTTATTAACAACAGAGAAGGCCCAAAACTTTCTTTAAACTATCCGAAGTAGATTAAATATACTTTTAAACTATATTTCAGCTCGAAAAATACTATTTTCATCAAATTATTAGGCCACACACACAAACTAGTCGATCCAAGCCGTTATAGCATCATTCGGGGTTCAATTGGATAGCTATAGCGGAGTAAGTTGTTGTAAATATAAGGAAACCCCTCAAAATCGCTCATAATCACCCCAAGAATATAAGTGTGGCCCTTGAGTATGGCTTGAATTCATTATAAGGTAAGGAAAATTTAGTTTTATAAGGATTTTAGGGTGTAAGACTTTGGGCTAATCTTAAAAATGGTTGTTATCGATTTATTTACCGCAATTCACTAATGTAACCATGAAACAGGTAGTTTTAGGTAATTAAAGGTGGAAACATTCTAGTTTTGGTGGAAAATTCATGAGGACGGATTAGGGTTTGAAATTTAGAGATGATCTATAAATATTTAGGTCATTTGTCATTGATTTTGTATTATTCTATTATTTTTGACCAAAAGCAAGTTAAAGTTTCACAAAAAGGAGTCAATGTTTGCAATCGAACTTCTAGAGAAGTTGTTTGACGCCCAGATAGGCTAGGTTATCTTTACTAAGTAGTCAGACATGTTTTATATTGCATGGTATTTTGTAAATTCACGGTAAGTTTCATGCGTAGGCCTTCAAACTTAGGGCCGGGATGATTAAGATTGTTATTTATTGTTGTCAGGCGGAAAAAGTTAATGACTAAGGTGTGTTATGTAGTTTTGATTTTTAACCTTAGGCTTACTTGTCAAGGTAGTTTTGTGGTAATGTAAGGTCAAGTGTTCTGAAAATTTTGGATTATAGACATTTCTAGAACTTGTGGTAATCAAGAATGGGCTTATGTGTACTCATAATGAGACATAGTACTAGGTCATTGTTATATATGTGATGGTTTGTGTTGTCCAATATATGTGTATAGACAATTTACTGCCTATTAGTATCACTTGTGTTGGAAATCATAGGGAAGGATAATAAACCTATTTATGTGACTTGTGGTTTCAACCGTTATTGTTCAATGTATTTGAGATTGTGCATGATTTTTTGTGTTTGTTGATTGGTCCAGGAACACACTGATACATGAATATTAACGGTTGACCCAGATACCATGCCTGAATGATTACAAACTCTAGTTGGCTTCAGTACCACGCTAATACAAAAATACTAATAATTGGATCGGATACTTCGTATAATATGAATACTAACCGTTGAATCGAATATCATGCCTTGTTTGTTTTTATAACCCTAGTTGGTTTGATAACTACACTGATACACTAACACTTTGAGTGTGGATTCTAGGAGAGAACAAAATTTACATGTTGGTTCCATGAGTGAACTGAATTTACCTCTTCATAATGTGATTGTTGCATGTAGGCCACTGAATGGGATTTGTGTTTAAATATTGGAATGATTCTTGTAAAGATCATGTTTGCATGCTAAACAATGTGGATAGTATTTTACAAATCCTTGATGATCCGAATTACTTGAAAGATATGATGAATCAGGTATAGCTTGTTGTGTTGATGTTATTCAAGATTATTGTGCATATAAACTTGAGGACTAGGAGCCTAGTCTATACTATACTGTTATTTATCTATTTTGCTAAGTTATTGTTACTAGGTCGGGCTGATGACTGGGGTCTAGTGTATAGTTTAAGTTGTTGGGACTCTTTATAGTTGTTTAGTATATAGAACATATCTAATAAAGATGATTTGAGTCAAGATGGCCGAGTTGGTCTAGGCGTCGGTTTCAGGTACCGATCTAAAAGGACAAGATTATTAATATGAGAACTTGAGAAAGAATAGTAGGTTGGTTACGTGGTTAGTGGTGGTCTTGCATTCAAGAATCTCTATATGATAGAAGGGTTGGGTTATGATTTGATATAGAGTGACATTAAAGAAAGGTTTTAGAAACATTAGGGTGACATAATAAGTAGGCTTGAGAAGCCTTAAAGTGCATCAAAGATAGACTCGTGAAGCCTTAAAGTGTATCAAAGGTAGGCTTGGGAAGTCTTAGGATGAAATAATAGGTAGGCTTGAAAAGACCTACGGTGTCATACATATAGGTTTAGAAAGCCATAGGATGACATAACAAGTAGGCTTGGGAGAGTGGCATAAGGGGTAGGTTTGGAAATCATTGAGTGGCAAGATGATTGAATGTTTATTGGTATAGTTGGCAGCTGAATAAGGTATAGGCTTGGATCAAAGTGTACTAGTTTATGGACATTATGCCCGGATGGTAAAAGCATGTGGATGTAGATATGATGTGATGTAACTTTCATGTTATTTCTATTGATACTACTCTTGTTATGTCACTTGACATAATATAGTTGCATGATTTCAATGGTGTTTCATAAGTGAAAATGGTGATGATTTTCGACAGCTTCTACTCATTTTACTTATGTTGAGACTTGTGTCTTATTTGTTTTATAAATACTTTTGAAAGCATTTGTACCTATTTAGAATAGTTTCTTGGACAAAGTATTTTGTTATTCATCAAGTTAAGAGTATTTTCCATGATTAAATAAGATGTTTTATTATGTTTTATTAATTTCTGCATTGATCATTTTTAAATTGGATGGTAAGAATTCTCTTATCTAGTTATTAGAGTAGGTGCCTGCACAACCCGGTGAATTAGATCGTGACACAAATGTAGTGGTCTTAATTTTTTGTCCCCATAGGAAAAGTCTTAAAAGAATGACATTCTTTCCACTTTAAGTAGAGTAAAAGGACATTTTTCTAATGCTTTTTAAACAAGGAATTTAAAATGTCTTTAATGTATCCTAAACAACTTTAAAATGTCATCCTTCTATCTATTGGTTCCAGAAATATCTTCAACGTTTTTTAAGATTTAAAATTATCTTTATTAACAACACAGTGACATGGCAAATAGTGGGCCATTTATTTAGACAAATGACTTCATTTTAGTGGTCAATTTAAAAATTTTAAACCAAATACATGACCGGTCTGAACTACAAAACTCAAACCCACCTAGCAATCATTTTCCATATTAACCTTATAACCTATCTTTGTACTCCCTTTTATAGCAATTCACAATCTTTATCGTAGCAACCCAATGATAGTGGTCTAGGTTACAAATCACAACACCTTGTACGTATGTTCTTCGTATAATACTATTTAGGGTCTATTAGAAACGTAATCATTCACCGACCTATTTTCTTGTATTGAATTTCTAACGAGGAATTTTAATTTTAAATGACTGTAAATTCAAGATAATTTCTTCAAAGTATACCAAACAAATTGAATTCAAAAACTTGCTTATACAGAAAAAAAAAAGACATGTAGAATCTCCGGCTGATATTTATCAATATCCAAGTCGTAAAATGATTGGCAAGCCATGCAAAAACATCTACTCAACAAATCTTGATCTAGAGAACAAATTGATTATCCAAACATTGTAATTGGTCCAATGACTATGAAGTCATCCTATTAATGGTTGGTACAATACCTCCCATCTCTTATCTATCTAAACTAATCACCTCCATTACACCTTCCTTATCTTCCTGGTGAATCTATTTTAGCAAAGGTTAATAATACTCTTCTGAATAGAGATCTCAAGCTACAACTACTTAAACATCACCTATTGAGTGCTCAACACTGGATGAAGCAACATGCTAATTCTCACAGGAGTTACAGGCGTTATGAAGTAGGTGATTGAGTGTACTTCAAAGTACTAGCAAGTCAACTATTGCACGTCATTCATTCCATAAGTCGGCTACTAAGTACTATGAGCCATTTCAGGTTCTTAGGTCTAGTTGCTTGCATTCTCTTATAGTTTCCTAGTTCAATGAAGATCCATCCCACAGTTCATGTTTCCCTATTAAAGAAGTGTCATGAAATCTCAGATCAAATATTTTTACCCCCCTTGTCGCTGATTTGGCCAATCCACACTGCCCTGTTCCTGAGTTGGTCATAGGATACAATCCTATGTTGCTGCTTGGGAGTTTGCCACCACCTTAAAGACCAGATTCTCATTATTTGATCAATTAGGGACAAGAATCTTGTATTGGAAGGGAGTACCGATACACGATTAAAAGAGAAGAAGCCAAATTCAATTGTGGTTACAATTCCATTTAAGAGCAATTAGTTGGTAACAGATTTTGTTATTAGCTTATAAAGAGCTCAATTTAGTTCAATTCAACTATTGTATAGTTTGTAATCAACTTATTGTACTATCATGATATAAAATATACAAATTCCTCTATTAGATCCTCCTTTTCTTCTTCATCCTTGTTAAGTGTTCTCGAGAAACTCATGATACAGTGCTTTGATCCTACAATTGAGTAACACCTTTTTATTCATGGTGAATTCCACCCTCTTTTTATCCCCAGCATGTATGCAGCAAACTTTTACACAATTTTAAAATGTAAAACAGGAAAAAGTAGATACAATCTTGGACAATAGAATGCACCCTCCTTCCTTTTACTTTAGGTTCTTTAGTTTCTCTTGTGAACATACAGAAGGTCCTTTAGTTTCCCTTGTGCTAAATAAATCTTAGAACATACAAAATGAGATGCCAAAAAGACACAAAAAGAGAAGGAGCATTTACATTTAGTAGAAGAAAGGAATATTGTTCTACAAAAACTGCAGAGTGTTTTCATATAGCATACTTCTTTTTATGGTTAACTAACCTTCAAAACGATGACAAAATCGTACACCAAGTAGGAAACAAAAAATAGTACTAGTAGTAAACAATGTGCTGATCACACATTTAGTCCTTTACATCAGTGACTCCTTCAACAGAAATTTGAAATCTTGCTTCTGCTTCAGCTAAGCATGGCGAACTGACTACTTTACAAATCCGCTCCTCGGCCCTACCCTTCCTCAGAGCTAGTCTGTCAGAATTTGAAGAGAGTAAAATATCAGCTATCAAGATAAGCTGCGCCTGCAAGTTATAGTTGTACTATTATGCGTACCTCGTCGTAGAAGCATGTGCCATGATGTTGCCACCAATGGGTTTTATTTGAGGCCCAGCAAATACAGCAGAACCATCCACTTGAGCAACAACTTGGTTCGTAATAACAACAGCAACACCAAACTGCAAGTGTAAAAGTAAAGGATAGATAGAAAAAGTAAGTCAAGAACCCCTAATCTAATTCTAAAACATTAACCACCACCAAAGAGAGAAAAATAGGAAGGAGGAGACTCCATTTTGGATAATATGCACAAATGAGGGACATGCTAAATACCTCATCTGCTAACTTCTGAAGGCTTCTCAGAAACTTTGCAAGATGCATCTGCCTGGCAGACAACTCTCCTCTCCCAGAGAAGTCAGTTCTATAAAGGGCAGTAGCACTGTCCACAATCATGAGAGCAAACCTGCTTGATCAAAACAGTTTTCAAAGTTAAGCTTCTATCAGAGATCTTTTTTATGCTTTGATGAGATGAACCCAAATAACTAAGGAAGCCACAAATTCAAGATTTTCACTATATTCAGGAAGCAAATTTTTTTTTGAATTCTAGAACACTTCAAAAAGATTTATTTGTTTGAAACAGGTGAGAGCACACTTCAAACAGATCCAAGATGTATCCAAACATGCATTAGATGTAAGATGGACATCCATAATCAAACAAATTGAGAGCTGCTTCAAACTAGAACCCTTCAACATACTCAATCAAGAGTTGGAATATTCTCTAAAAGATATAATCTAAGCACATTTTCTTGCTCAAAGTATCACAGCCACTGAGAAGCATGAGAAATTTTTTTCATAAATGAGCAGTGGAATATGGAGAAAGTTAACCTGGTCTCCACCATCATTGAGGCTGCCTCAAGCAAAAGTCTTGATTGATGATCGGTATTATAAGCTCGAGCATAGGCTACATTCTCCAGGACATCAGGACCATTCAATCCATACCTGCAGCATTTAACCCCACTGATGACAACAGTTTGAACTTCATAATACCAGAAAAACATGTGAGTTGAGTTACTAGTAGAAGACCTGTCTGCAATTTGTAAAAGTCTTTGTGGTCTGAAAGTACCCTCAGCATCAATGTACATTGCTTTCCCTTCACCACCTCCCTGATCTAATGGAAGCTGAAATAACAGATAAAGAATGATATTTGAATGAATCTTGTGCACTTTATTATGGGATTTTAAAATTAAAAAAATGTCTATGTTATCGTACTTGACAAGTCACGCATAGTGTGTGACACAGCTGAGTCTTTCCACATCGGAACTCTCCGTAAATTTCAGTAATAGATCCAGTTTCGATTCCTCCTGACAAGTGACAAAAAAAGTATGAGGTTGTGATGCCAGGTCAAATTCCGGTTCTAGAAGTTCACAAATTAGATAAATAACTACCTTCTAATATCTTGTCAAGTTCTTTCGATCCAGAAGTTATCTGTATGATTTCAAGCCTCTGTGCATGGAGTTGGCTGGCACTAGTGAATCCCAAAGGCACTAATTTTGAAGCTGTTCATATGCAGCATTAAAAAGATTTAGTACCGATTGCTGATAAAAAATTGCAGAAATGGGTGAAAAAAGAAGGTAAGGGGAAAAAACATCAGCACTGGCAATGGCAGTTAAATGAAGAGAGACATGCCTGCCTCAATAATCTTGTCAACTTTAGCTTCACTAATTCCTTTTATCTGCAGAAGTTCCTTTCTTGGAGCATAAACAACAGATTCAACTGTACATAGACCAGCATCCTTGAGTTTTTTTACATCTAGAGCTGCAATCCCTGATGCCTTGAGGACAAAAAAGCTATATGCCTCAGTAACTAATGGACCATTTCCTTTAAAAGTTGGAAGAATTACAGGGTGTCATTCAACAGAAACAACTATACTACAAGCTAGACTGGAAAAAGATACTCAAAGATATTGCCTCTTAAATATTAACAATTCCAAGAAAAAAATCTAGGAAATGCCTAGTCCAGCTTTTATGTACTACCAGTAAGATTAAAAAATCCTCAAGAGTTTAGGTTTCACTTCGTGTAAATCTTTTTAAAATCTGCAGTATGAGAAACTTATGATAAGTACTTATCTGAGTTACTGTAAATGTTAATCACTCGAGACTTAAAATTCTTCAAAAAAAGATCTAAACTGATAAAATCTTGTAAGGAGCAAAGCTGATAAGCCAACCGCATAACCCAGATGCACACTAAAATATCTGACCATCAACGCCCACCTATTGGACCCTCCATATCATGCGTCATGATGTAAATCATTTTGTGTCAAGTGCCTTTCTAGAAGCAGCTTTTCATGGTGCCCTCAATTCTGTACACTCTGATAGTAACCTACAAATTTCTAATGAAAACTGGTTGTAATTACGGGCAGCAAAACCATTGTAGCAACATCGTTTTTTTTAATTGATGACCTAGAAATTTGTTTTGAGCCAACCCTTATTGCCAACAATAGCATTCGAACTCAGGAATGATGGGTCACTCCTCTACCATTCTCCACTTAAATACTAAACTTAGGCTTGTCGCAGGGCTCCATGACTCCATCGAAACATCATACCAAAAAAACACTCATCCAGGTTTTCAAGATCAGTGGTATCGCTTCGAGAACCCATTTCACAAAGCATTCTACAACATTTAGCTTCAAAACTAAGGCAGTAAAGGACAGATAGATATAACTGTAAAAATATTAGCTTGAAATAATCCACAAGAGCACTATGATAGCGAACCCATTCCAAGAAGCCAAAAAGGGGACAGTATAGAAAACCCCAAAACAAAAAAAAGCATTTCCCATAAGCGAGGCAGATGAGATTCAACCTTGAAAAAAAGCTGTTTCACAAAATTCAGTTTTTTACCATTCAAGATTCAACCCAGAACCACATTTCAAGATTCAACATTTAACCTACGAAGTACAATTCAAGATTCAAGATCAGACCCAGCTACACTGAATCTGAAATCATAAACAATCACTATCACCAAAACAACTACCCCAATCCAAGATTTAGGACACTTGATATATAAAAAGGATTGAATTAACTCCTCAATTAAGAGAAGAAAAGGGGGGAAACCTGAAGTTGTTCAACTGGAAAAGGGCCGTGTTGAACATCCTCGATTTCATCATTTTGGTCTTGCATCGACTTCTGATTCCTGTGCTGCTGCTCCATTGCTAATTTTCTTGATGCTCACTGAGAATGGAAGAATGGAGGCAAAAGGAAATATTTCAAAGGCGTGAGGAGCCGCCAAAAATACTGCAAATGAAATCGTGCTTCACAAGCTGTTTAAATAAAACTAATAAATAAATAATACTTAGGAGGTGTTTGGTATGAAAAAAACAGTTTTCTCTGAAAATGTTTTCTTGGAAAATAAGTGCATTTCTAACTTATTTTCTCATGTTAGTTGGAAAGGAGAACATTTTTTAATGTTTGGTTGGTCAATGAAAATAATTTTCATAAAATATGTTTTTGTATGCAACCGTTATGAATTTGATGGTGATAAAAACAGTTGACAAGCAATAATGTGTCCAGAAATATAGAGAAAATTAGAAAAGAATCACTTTTCAAGAACGTAAAAGGCTCAAAAATACCCATGAAAAGTATTGGATTACATATACCTTTAAATTATATTCTGGCTCAAAATTACCCTCCACTTAAAGTATTGGGTCACATTTACCCTTACTATTAACAGAGGTGTGAATAGTAAAGATAAATATGACTGAATACTTTAACGAAAGGATATTTTTGAGCCAGAATATAGTTTAAGGGTATATGTGAGTTATTTTCGATAGTTTAGGGGTATGTTTTAGCCTTTCCCGTTTCAAGAAAAATAAATATGATTGTTTAATGCCAAATAAATATTCAAAAAACCCTTTTTCGGCCAAATAAATAAAATTGACTTATTTATTACCAATTTATCTATAAGTTGCTATGTTATGCCATTTTTTTCAAAAAGGGAGAAACTACATAAATGGGCCACAATACTCAAAATAATTACAATTTTATAGCCCAACTCAAACTAATTTAGCAAATAGCCATTCACCCAAAATAAATTACAGTTCATGCCCCCTTTAGTTTAGGCTCAATTTCCTTGGAACCCCCTTTAAATTTAGGCTCAATTTTGCCTCTTTAAACGAATGTGATGACACTTATCTATTTCCATCAAGACAAGTCAGCCTCAAATCCAACAACATGTAAGAAATGTGGAAAGTTACACAAGAATAAAAAACTTATTCATTCTAATTGATAAGAGAAAAATATCATATATACTAAGTTATTATTTAATTTTAGTACTAATATTTTTAATCTTTGCGGAAATGTTGCAATGTAATAAAAAAACATCAACTAAGTAGATATGTGGCAAAAGAAACACAGGTGTTGATTTTCAAGAAATTATCTAAGACAAATGGAAATATTAAAGAATTATGAAAGAGATGAATGGAAGTTGAGCAAATATGACAAAGAATTGGACTTTTTTTTTTTGTGTAGAACCCACAAGCTAAAAATGGAAAGAAGAACAAATGAGAAAGATAGAAATGAAGGAATTATCCAGCAAATATGGAAAATAAAAATTGGAAAATAAGGTAGCATGATATCTACCAAAATAAAAAACAAGCATAAGACAAGTTAAATGAAAAAGTTTGTCAAATGTTTCAAATGTTGGTATACATTTGACCTGCCATTTTTTTTTGTCAAAATTATCAACTACAAAGTGGAAAAATTGAGAGAAAATGGTGATTTTCTTCTTCAGAGAATTGCTATAAATTGCACAAGAAATGAGTTGATATAGCAGAGTAGAGAGAGAGTCAAAAACAAAGCAATCCATATATTTCTTTAAGTTCTTCTTATACTACTTTTTTAAGTATTTCATGTTGAAAATTATTCTAGTTCCTGCTTTTAATTAAATAGTAGAATTATTATTTTTTGAATATTTCTTCTATCTTATCTAATGGAGAAGAATATTTTCGCTAGTAGTACTATTTCTATTATGGAGTAATTTTCTTTTGTTTTGAAAAATTGACGGATCTTGATATTTCTACATAAGTTATTATATCTAAATTTTATGTGTGTGAACTTAAGCTATGGATTTCCATTTTATTTATTTTATAGTTAGATGTTATTTTATTTATTAACATATTTCCATTGATTACTACGTTTAACATATTACTAATTTTGTAATCGAGAGGGATGGAAGAAGTAATATTATTAATTGGAGTATTGATATATTGTTAATATTGTAGTAACGTCTATCTATTTTATGTTATAATTAATCTACACTTATTTGTAATAGAAAGAGGCGAATAGTGGAATAATTAGTTATAACAAGCAAGTTAATCGAAAGAGACTTACTTAGAAGAATATGTTTTAGCTCAAGTACACATGTCTCGCTCATAAATATTACTATTTCGGTAATTAAATTGTATAACCGAGAGGAGTGCATATAATTGTTTAATTTCAGTAATAACATATAATTATAATCGTGAGAGGTATTTATACTTTATGAGAAATATAAATTTAGAAAAAAAAATTACTTTATATAGAAATATTGAGTGAGGTCAAGATCCCCAACACCTTTTAATATATTGTGAAAACTAAAGTAGTTTCTCTACTTTTTGTATTATTAATTAATTAATTCACCATTCAACAATTCTTGATTTTCTTAAATAGTAATTAAAACAACAAATATCTGTAGAATAGACAAACCGATCCCTGTGGTTCGACATCTTTCTATACTATTATTTGACATACGGTGGGTTAAAAATATATACATTCAGTGACTCTCCACTAATATAACCCCAAAACCTAATTGTCACGTGTACAAGCCACTAATGTATAATGTGTGAAATTGAAAGATAATTACAAATCTCAATGTCTTTATTTTTCAAATAGAATAAAATATAAAATAAGGAACAAGAGGATCCGCCAGGATGACAAATAGTTACCTCTTAAAGTTCTCTAGAAGCCTCAGAAATAGATGAAAAGCAATCACACGTAACTAGTCTCAAAAGCTACATAAGTGTAGAAGAAAGGAGTGAGTACCAAACAACATGGTAGTCAACATGTAACCTACTAAACAAGACAAAACTAAGTTAGAATAAGAGTACTCCTTTCATCCCAATCAAAACTGCTCAAACTGCAACTTGCATAAAATCAACCTAACCTAACCGATTAACAATACACGATTTACAAGACTTGAAAATCATAGTTCAACAGTCACAATCAATAAACAATAAGTATCAAGTGTGACAAACATACGTGTCAAGTAGATCAATTAGAAGCATCAAATTCATCAAGGTACGACTATCAAGTACTGATACACTCAAACTTACTTCTCAAATAAGAAGTAAAGCGGTCGTGTCAAGTAAATAACTCAACTAATGAGGTTGGGATCGTTCCCACTAGGAAAATAGTTTAGACTTAGCTTCAATCTATTATTTCTATTGTTCAGTCAATTACTTCCTTGTAAAGCAAAGACGATAAAAGGGAGGTTTCTATTTCTAAATAAATGAAAATAACTAACGAAATTAAAAGAGACACTTAACATCTTCGAATGTTGGAATTAATCAAAGTAACTAGGGTTTACGTGTTCCCCACAGGTTCATAACTTGATAATTCTAACTATAACAATTCTTTCCTTGTATCTTGCATGCAAAGTGATAAGTTTTGTATTTCTAAATCCTTGGTCCGGCATCTAGAAAAATTCACTCCGCACCTAGGTCCGGCTACGTGTGTTGCTATACTAACCCTTATCTTTACCTCATATTAAGCATCGTATTCGATATTTGACTAAGTTATTACCTCGTACCAATCAATACTAGCCTATTAGATAGTATACACTAAATCTACGTTGATAATTCTTTTCCTATTATCTACCTCCTTGGTCCGGTAAGTAGCATGAAGGCGAGTTCTAACGTTGTCCATCTGTTAAAAAGACTTCTAAGAGAAAGAATTATTAATACATGCAAGACACTATTCTAGAATTGTTATTTTAGTTAGGTCTTACCTCATTATTTGCCTATGGTTCCCACAACCCTACTTATGGAGTTTAGTTACCCATAGTCATAATCACAATATTCAAATATATGATATAAGAATTCATGCACATACTTCAATGAGAAAGAGTATCCGAAAGTTCGCTTGATTATTCAACAAAAATCACCAACAATCAATTCAAAGAATCTCAAAATAATCAAGAATCTAACAATAATCAAGGGCCTAACCAAATAATCCAGAGTCTCACCTAATAATCTAGAGTCTAACCTAATAATCCGGAGTCTAACCTCAAAAACGAGGTTTTTCAAACTATTTATAGAAAATAAAAACCTAATTAAACAAGGATTCTATTTGCTGGAAATCTGTCAAAATGCGGCTGGGTCGACGGACCTCGCGACGGATCATCGTGGTCACGACGGACCGTCATGGACTCCGTCGTCCCATACTTGTGCAATTTCTTCTGCTGCTCTCTTTATTACCCTCGATGTCAAGTATGACGGATCGTCACAGGCACAACGGTCCGTCGAGGGTCTCCGTTCCAAAACACTTGAACTCTTGGAATATGGGTACTGGGACTACTTCTCTGAACTTAACGATGAACCTGCAGGACGGACCGTCATGGACACGACGGTCCGTCACGCTTTCCGTAACCCCACACTTGGTCCGACTTCCCCATCTTCCTTCAGCAGCTGCACTACGCTGCCACCTACGGACCGTCACGAGCATGACGGACCGTCACAAGCTCCGTAGGTGGTCTCTTCTGCATTTCTTCACTCAAAAACCTCCCATTCATCTTTGGACAGATTTCCTCCAAATAAGGAGAAACTTATATAAAAATTAACACAAAAAGGCTTTTGGACATAGTAAACTTAAGGAAAAAGTATTAATAATGCCGTGAAACCATGGTATATCAAGTACACGAACACAAATCTCAAGATTATCATGCACAACCTCAATCAGGATTCACGGATAACCACTTGTAGATCAGAACTCGTTAGTAATGACCTCGACATCCATAACACTCGCGCACAATGACTTCAACATTAGTAACACTCACTGATAATGACCTCGACATCAATAACACTTATCGAAAATGACCTCGACATCAATAACACTTATTGCAAATGACATTAGCATCAATAACACTCGTCGATAATAAATCAACATTAACAACCATTATATCTCTCATCACGGTGCACAAAAATCAACGCAAATAACCAATCTCACACCATCAATTCTACTAGTTTTACAAGGTTTAAAAGATTACTTGTCTCAATTCAATGAAAAGTCAATTCAAGTCTTGATCCTTCCCTTTTCGAACAATCTCCAAAACTACACAATCTAATCTAATCAAGTAATCACAGTAAGATTTTGAAATCAACAATACCCAAATCATACATTTTGATTTTGAAGATGAGGTTTGAATTGAAAAATCTTTACTTGAAAGTGTAATTCAAGGCATTTGAAACTCATTGGTTAAAACCATTTCGAAAAAGGAGTTAAAATCATTTCACAATCACCATTTTAGTTTAGAACTCAAATTCTTGAAATACCTTGTTATTTCCAATCAAAACCCCAACTTTTGATGTTAAAATCCATAAATGATATAAGAGAAGTGAAGTTTTAAGCTCATAAAGGCTTATCCAAATGATTTAGCAGTAGAAATCTCCAAAAAATTTCCTCCAAGGATTTTACAAAGCTCAAAAATAGGAAAAAGAGGGCTTAACTCAGAAATGACAGGCCAAAAACCCTCTCAGATGTTGCTTAAGCGAACCTAACAAAAACGAGGGGTCTCACTTTTTGTGAACCAAACTCCTCTTAATCGATCATCGCTAAAGTGAGCCTTGGTTCGCAGAGTGAAACCCACCAAAGTTTGGCCTTTATGGAAGTGGAAGGCCAATCAGAAACGTGAAGGGTACATAACTCGACACCAGAAAATATCAGCCCATACTCAACACATTGAAAGAACCCTTGAGATTCGTTCAAAACTCCGTACACACAAACCATATATGTAATTTTACTATACTCAATAGAACCATCGAAACACAAATTCAAGATCTCATTGACCCAAAACTCGTGAAAGTCGTAAGAAACGAATATAATGCCTAAAAAGTCTAAAACAAGTTTGAGACCTCTAAAACTCAACCAAGACCTCACTTAAGTCTGACACCCCCGAATCTATTGAAATTGTTGGAAATTTAATATGAGATATAAAATCAAGCAACATATTACTAGATGATAATTTCAGAGCAGTGGTTTCTGATTTTGGACTATCGAGATTAGTGCCTATTGACAAGACTCATTTAACAACACTGATAGGGGGTACATATGGTTACATAGATCCACAATACTTCCGCTCAGGTCAACTTACAGATAAATGTGATGTATATGCCTTTGGTGAAATTCTTGCAGAGCTTCTAACAAGACAAAGAGTTGTCATTTCAAACCTACCAGAATATCCAGGTTTGGTTTTCCGTTTCACATTATCATTGAAAGAAAATCGTATTATTGAGATTGTAGACCCTGAAATTGTAAAAAAAGTTGAGGATGAACATGTGATTCTTGTTGTTGCCAAAATTGCCAAGAGATACTTAAATTATAATGCTAGGAGAAGTCCATCCATGAAGGAGGTGGAAGCTTAACTTGACCAACAAGGAAAAATAAGGCGAGAGAAAACTCGTAATGAGAGTTTTCAAGATAACATTAATTTACCAAAAAGTGAAAGTTCTTGTAGTCATATTTCTGATTATACCAAAGAAGATAATCAGAACTCGATGTCTCACAATGAAATGCAGTAAATGCAAGAAGTTCTTGCCGTTGATTTGGAGTCATGCAGACTGGCTTGGAGTTTGAAGACTAGGGTGAGTTCATGGTGTTTTGAGTTACCAGTTTCCATCTTTTTTTGGCTAGACTTAGTCTTTATATTATATTCAGAGACAACTTGTACTTATTTCGTATTTGTAAAAAGCCTTATACTCTTATTTTGATTAGATATGATGCTCGAGCACTGACTAATGCCAGATCTTGGGGATGGTTACTTGTATTGCATTTTGTTGATTACTCTTTCTTACCTTTGTTGTAAGGTTCTTGCTTCTTGTTGTTGACTTTCTCTTGATAGCCCATTGCTTATGAATCTAGGATATGTGTTGACTTATCTAGTGGTGGGGTGTACTAGTTATCCATAGCATTATAAAGTGCACATAACAATGTATTACTAATACAAAGGGTTAATGCATGCATTATTTTTAGGCAAAAGTATTCATTACCCCCTGAACTTGAAGCTTTTTATTCAAGGTACACCTAAACTTTATTTTGTTTCAATTACCCCCCTAAACTTGCTTATTCATCCTACACGTACACTTTTTCCATCCACTCAATATGATCGTGTCTACATGCGCACGACACGTAGATAAGTATTTTACCACCTAGATAAATAATTTGCCACCTAGATAAATATTTTGTTACCTAGATAATACCGACCTTAAAAATTCACAAATGTTTAAACTTCTGAAAGAAGCTTCTCGATTTTCTCTAAACCTCTCTTTGATATTTTCTAAACCTCTCTTTGATTTTCTCTAAACCTCTTACGAAAGTGTAATTGACAAAGTAACGAGTACATTTGGTAAGTGTAATCGACAAAGTAACGGTATATTTGTGCTAGTTGCAGTTCGTGAAGCTTCTCGATTTTCTCTAAACCTCTCTTTGATTTTCCCTAAATCTCTCTTTGATTTTCTCTAAACCTCTAACGAAAGTGTAATCGACAAAGTAACGAGTAGATTTGGCAAGTGTAATCGATAAAGTAACGGTAGATTTGTGTCAGTTGCATTTCATGAAGTGTTTGGTCGATTTTCTTTGGATCTTGTCCGAAATTGTGTCTACAAGTGATTATCCACTCGATTTCGCGTAGGCTTGATGTATTGCTGTCTGTTTTCTTTACTTTTTCATACATATTTTGCCTATTTTGCCCTATTTCGTTTAACGTTTCGCCATAGTTTCCGATTGAGTTTCTGATTAGGGGTCTAATACTTTTCAACTAGAATTTTCATTTAATGAATGTATTATTATGAAGCTTTTTACCTTGTTCATGCATGAAATTTAGGCTTTTTGGTAAAATTAAGGTTCTAAGTATTAGGGTTTCTGGTATTGATAAATGGTGGGGTATTTTATAATTTGTTTAAGTATATTGTGTGGGATGCCTATTGTATGTTGATGAGTAATACATCTACTATACTAAGTACCAATTGTTGCTTATGTTTTGGTGTTATTATATATGTTTTCAATTTTATTGCTTGCATTGTACAATATACTGATTATTATTGTCGTTATAGGTTGACACTATGACTAATAAGTACCTCAATTTAAGGTTCAAATTTGGGGCTATGTTGGTGAGTGAGGTAGGTCCAGTATATGTTGGGGGTAGGACTGAATATGTAGACAACGTGGATGAAGATCATTTATCAATTCCTGAACTTGCAGATTATGCTAAGTCTTTTGGGATTAGTAAGTTAGGAAAAACATATGCAGCTCCATCTCTAGGGGGTGATTTGGTGGAATTGAAAAATGACATGAACATTTGTAGCATGGCATTATTTATGCATGATGGGGACACAATAGATATTTATGTTTGTGATTAAATTATTATGGATGATGTGGGTCCCAGTGAAGGTCAAATTAATCAATCTTTAAGTCAAGTGGTTGAGTCTTTTAATTCATATGGGGAATCTCTAACTGCACAACCAAAAAAATCAGATCTAGGTTTAGGTTCCTCTTCTTCCTTTCCAGCTACTGAAAGACTTGAAAATGATGGGATTGTAAGGGTCGAACAAGAATGCCAACAAGAAAGTGATGATGATTATTCTTCAATAGATTGGACTGATACTGAAGAAGAAGTTGAACCAACTATCCAACAAGGAACTAAACCTTCTATTCAACAAGAAGTTGAGCCAATTACCCAAGAAAATGCAGAGAAAGACATAGACAGTGATTCTATCTGTTCTGACCAGTCTATTGACTATGGAAGTGATGTGCATGAGGAGTTGAGTGATGTGCATAAAGAGTTGAGAATTGTTAAGGAAGATGTGAGAAAACATAGAGAAAGTAGGAGGAGAAAGAAGAAGGAAAATCCAAAAGTTTTTTTAGGTGAAGTTGGATTTGATGAAGGGTATGAGGATATTGAAAAAGGGAAAAAGAATTTCAAGGGTAAGCTAACAGAGGATGAGTCATACTATGACAGTTCTGACTGTGATAGTTTTCAAAGTGATGAAGAAGAACCTGTTTCTGATGATGAACTTGAAGGAGGGAGTTTAAGGGGGAGAAAGAAGAGTAATAGGGTGGTATATGATTCTTCTTGTGATATTGTAATATGGCAGTGTGGTTCGATATTTGAAAGTGTAAAGCAATTTAGGGAGGCAGTTACAAAATATGCTATAAAAAAGGAGTTGAGTTAGATAAGTATGTGAATGAGAGTACTAGAGTGAGAGTGAAGTGTAAAAGTGGTTGTCCATGGCTGTTGTATGCAAGCAAGGAAGGAAGGAGTGAGAACTTTACTATCAAGACATACAATCCAAGGCACAAATGTACCAGGACCCCCAATAATATTTTGTGTAATTCAAAGTTCTTATGCAAGTATCTGAAAGATAGGATTATTTCTCAACCTAGTATAAAAGGGTGGGAGATACAAGAATTGGTGAGGAAAGAGTTGAATGTTCATGTAGGCAAGGCAGTTTGTTTAAAAACAAGAAAAATTATTTTAAAGGAAATTATGGGAGATCATGTGGCAGAATTTAACAGAATCCTAGACTACAAGATATGTTACTCCAAACAAATCATGGTAGCACTTGTGTTGTGAAGCTTAAAGATTCAGAATCAGGAAAAGGGATGAAAAAATTTTCACTCTTTTTATATTTGTTTTTATGCTATGAAAAAGGGTTTTCAACAAGGATGCAGAAGATGTATAGGGCTAGATGGGTGTTTTCTAAAGGGAATTTGTTGGGGTCAACTTTTGGCAGCTGTTGCTAAAGATGCGAACAACCAAATGTATCCAATAGCATGGGCAGTAATTGATACTGAAAGCAAGTTGACATGGAAATGGTTCATGACCATTCTGAAAGATGATCTTAATCTAGGAAATGGTTCCCAGCTAACTATCATTAGTGATATGCAAAAGGTAATTGAATATCTTTCTTTTGTTATGTTTAATGTAATTGCTAATTTAATTTGACTAAAATTTAACTTGATTTTTTTGCTTTGCAACTACAGGGACTAATAGCTGCTGTAGATGAACTATTTACAGAATGTGAGCACAGAATGTGTGCTAGACACATCTTAGAAAATTGGTCACAAAACTTCAGAGGCTTAGAGAGAAGAAAGAAATTTTGTGCTAGATCAACATTTGAGGCACAATTTAAGTACAATATAAATGCCCTGTCCAAGCTGGGAATAGGTATTATTGAATCCCTTATCAAATACAACAAGGAGACATGGTGTAAAGCTTTTATTCAAACATTTTCAAAGTGTGATAGTATAGATAACAACATGGCAGAGAGTTTCAATTCTTGGATCTTGTGACCTAGGAACAAGACCATTGTAACTATATTGGAAGAAATTAGAGTTAAGGTGATGAGTAGAGTGAGTAAGTCAAGAGCATTTGCTGAAACATGGACAGATGGAATATCTCCAATGGCAATGATGGTATTCAATACAAATGTAACAAGATCAATGCAGTGCAACATTGAATGGAATGGTGATGTTGGATTTGAAGTGTTAGAAGTGGTATACAAGCATACTGTGAACTTGGGTCAACAAAAATGTAATTGCAGATCATGGGAATTAAAAGGTATCCCATGTGCACATGGTATAGCAACAATCAACCACTTGAACATAGATGCATCACAAGCAATATCTAGTTGGTATAGAAAAGACACATATATGAAGACATATTCTTATTTCACTCAACCAGTCCCAAACATGGAAATGTGGCTTGAAAGTAGAAACCTAATGGTTGAACCACCTGAGGCAAGATAAATGCCTGGTAGGCCACCAAAGAACAGAAGAAGAGAAATTGGTGAAGTGAGAAAAGTTGGAAAGTTGCCAAGAATGGGGACAGTAATGACATGTTCACTTTGTAAAGGACCAAATCATAACAAGAGAAATTGTCCAAAAAATCCTAAACCTAAGTCTACACCAACACCCACTCAAGAGGTACATTCATATTAATTTGCTTTTAGAAATTATGTTAGATTACTTATTAAATTTAATGTCTTGTTGTGTTCTTTTTCCAATCATATTAGTCCACCATTGGAAAAAAGAGGGGTAGAGGTCATTATGAAAGAACAAGCACCAGTAAGACTGGTACAAGAAGAGGTGCAGGAAGTTGTTACAAGAAGAGGCCTAAAGTTGTTGGACAAAGTGTATTTGTTGCTGATACTAGATATACGTGTATTAATGTAAGTGTCTTATAAACTGTCAGAATTATATTTGTCTTCTAAATGTGAATCCCAAAATAACTATGTAGTTGATATTGTAGCAAGGATTGTCTAGCAGAAGAAGGGTTAATACTGGTGTGGTGAGTTTTGCACATGTGACAAGTGATATTGGTTTTAAACCTACCAAGGGACTGAAGTGGAAAGGCAAACAGGCCATG